TTTTGCAGTGCATTTAGGAAGGTGGGGTTATTATTTCAGAGTCCCCTGTCTTCATGCTAAGTTAAGCTGCTGCTGATCAGCCTTAAGAGTGGTGCTGTCTCTTCCATGAAGAAAATTATTATGACTATTGGGGAAAACGTTGAATTATACCTCAAATCTACTTTAGAGTGTTTGGAAAGTGTGGGAATTCTGTTTTAATGTCTCAGAAACAAAAAAAACAAATGTGTGCAGGTGTGTGGGTGTAAGTGTGTGTGTGTGTGTGCGCGCACTGCAGGAGGTAAAGGGGTTAACGCCCCTCCTCTCCCACTGAAGCACAAGATTCTCACACCCAAAACATTCAGCTGATCTTAAGCATCTGCCATCTGCTTAGATAACAGAAATACAGTCTTTATATAAAAACACATTTGACTGAATTCATACATTACAATACGTGAGTCCACAACATACACAGAAGGGGAGGCACAATCGTCACAGCCCTGCTGCTATCATGGGCAATTAACGGTCCACAGCTCTAGCTCACAGGGTTTTTGCTGTTTCAAAATATATCATACATAATAGGTGGGGGGGGGGGGGGGGGGGGGGGGGGGGGGGGGGGGGGGGGGGGGGAGGAGAGGGGGATGAGAGATCCTCCTGCTTTATGGGGCCTATTTAAAAGCCCAGAGGTGCCACTCCTGGTCACTCCCAGGTTTTCTTCTTGAATTGGCTCCTGGCTGTTTTACACCTCCAGGAGGGACTATTATCCTGTCAAGGGGCTACTTCTCACAGCAGTGCGATGCTTCACCCCGTGAAAATCACACCCTTCTGCTTTTTTTGTTTTTTGGGGTTGTTTTTTTTTTGGTCTGTACCACATGGAGTTCACACACGGGTCTGACTTGAATTTACTGAGTCGCCATGAAAAGGCCCTACAAAAATAAGGCCTAAAAAGAGGAAACAGAAGTGAAAGGTGGCGATGACTTGTGAGTGGCCTAGGCATTAATCTGATAGGCAGTTAGACAGTTATTGGTGTATTAACATTTATAATGTCACACTTTAAAAAAAAAATTCACACTGTAATAGGTAGACACTTTACTGATGCCACAAGGGTTATTATAGTAATTACAGTGTTACAGCTGCAGGATAAAAATAATACAATTACTGCAATAACAATATATTGATTGTCATTCAGTTGATGAGGTAACCTTGAATAACAGTTCTGAAAACAGGTCTGGTATGCCAACAGTGATATTTCAGACTTCAGTGGTAAACGTGACCTACTGTTCCTAAGAGATGAAGGTGCAAGTAGATATGAGGAAGTGAAAATACTTTTAGGAAAAGGGTGTAGATCTTTATTTTACACTTACACACACACACACACACACACACACACACACACAGTCCATCTTATACACATATACAACTGTTGCCATATATAACTGTGCTCAGGCTTTTGTTTTCTCACAGAGATTATATTCAAAAGCAATTCATGGAAAAAAAAAAACAATGAGCCAACAAAGAACAGGACATGGTGTACATTTGAATCACTTGTAGAAACTGATGCGTGGACCCAAAAGTTTGTGAGTAGTGCTGCCCCCTAGTGGTAAAACTAAACAACTATAACTTTTAAAGATGAGCAAATGCTACCAATATCTATGTAATTAATGAATATTGGTTTGTTATATTCTATGAATTTTTTTTTTTTGGGGGGGGGACAAAAACAAATACACAAAAGAGTGTGCTAATGGTGCCAAAATACACAAACTTGTATCATTTGTGGAATTCTAAGCATATAAAAAAACTATAAGGTTAAATATTATTTTTATGATCTTACATTACAAGTTACATTTCAAGTTAAAGAATTTGGCTTTTTAGGTTTAAACAAGTAGTCAAGACCAGTGTTTTATTTATTTTAAATTTATCATGTAACACAGTACAACATTATGACACCATTATCCTTGAAAGCAAAACATTAAGAAATGCAATGTATATAAAATACACCTAAGATGTATTAACACAAACAAGGAAGAGGCTAAAAGAAAAACATGGTGAATGACCTCAGGTGTTCCTGTATGACATGTGCTTCATTGGCACTTTGAAAGAATCTCCTGACAGCTTTTGTAGACTTTCACCAAGCAGTTCAGCCTTGGCTTTGAACTCTAAAGGGAAAAAAATAGAGTTAATTAAAAACAGGTTCCTATGAATGACACCACATCAACAGCCCTGCAGGTAATCAAGTCACTAAACAGGCTCTTGAGATATGTTCATCCTCACCTGAAACAATGGCACAACACTTGACACTGCATCGGGCTCTGAGGGGTCCTTCAACAGTACACAGAGGTAGTAGATGATCTGATGCTGAAATATAAGCATTAGACATTAATCCAATCTTCCGTGGCAAACTGTAGAATAACTAAATGAGAAAATGTCAACATGTCACACAAGTACAGAGGCACAGGTTCACCAACGCACCATGTAAATAGCTTCATTGATGACAATATCCTTGATCTTGCTCATCTCAATGAAAGTGGTTATCTCGCGGCCCGAGGCATAGCTGGAGGACACCTGGATGCCTAAGGAGCCAATGACGAGAAGGGACTCGTGGTCTACCTTCACAAAGTGGATGTGAAGCATCATGCCAACAAGGGTGACAAGAATAGCGCCAGACAGAACGGCAGTGTTCTGCAAGAGAGGAAAAGTATTAAATTAAAAATAATCATTGTAAATTAAAATAATATACAACCATTCAAAAGTACCTAATGCTAGCAAGAGAATGACATTATATACAGAACATCTACATACTGAGTTGGAGAGCTAAACAAAACTTTGAGCGCACTTTTACATGATGCCAATTTGCAGGATACTAATGGTGTGGCATCCAGTCTATTCTGAGTCCAACAGAAGAGGAAGAGGAAATGCTGATAGAGAGATATCCTAGTGAATGGATCAGCAAACAATGGCCGATGCACCTGAAAAGTGACTTTTATCACCCACTGCCGGAAAGAAACCACGCTCAGTTGGAAAGAACAGAAATGATGTGATCACTGGAAAAGTCTCAAAGTGTATATATATTTATTCTTATTCTTACTCTTCCCACATTTATTGTTGTTATTTTGCACTGAATGGAACTGGAGCCTCGTCATCTCGTCTCTCTATATACTGTACTGTAAATAGCAGAGATGACAATAAAGTTTACTTTAAATGATCACACTGGACGCTCACGTAACAAGCACAGCTTTGAACACAAAGAACCCAGAGCCATTTAAAAAAAATGCTGCAAAATTACTGCACTAACTAAAAAAGTGCATCGTCTCGATCTTAGACCGGGCGACTAGATTGAGACTTTCTTGTAAAATACTGGCCCCTTGTGGTGGGAATTAGTGTTCAATTTTACAAATTCTGATTACAACAAGTATCTTTAAGAAAGAAAGAAAGAAAGAAAGAAAGAAAGAAAGAAAGAAAGAAAGAAAGAAAGAAAGAAAGAAAGAAAGAACTGTATTCTGCCTTCTTTTTGCTGCTCCGTTTAGGGGTCACCATAGCAGATCATCTGTCTCTATCAAACCCTATCCCGCCTATGTCACACCAATCCTCTTCATGTAAATCCATTAATCTTCTCTATGGTCTTCCTCATTTCCTCCTGCCTGCCAGCTCCATATTCAACATCCTTTATCTGATATATATGGTGGTGGTGGTGGTTACCACTGTTCTCTTACAGCAAGAGGGTACCACCACCCTCCATCTGGAGGGGGCCTTACTGTGTGGAGTATGAATGTTCTCTCCGGGTACTCAGACTTCCTCCCACAGTCCAAAAACATGCAATTAGTTGGGTTAGGTTAATTGGTGATTCTAAATTGCTCAGAGGTGTGAATATGAGAGCGAGTGGTTGTCTGTCTGTCTGTGTTAGCCCTACGACAGCCTGCGGACCTATCCAGCACCCCCTGCGGCACTGAATTGGAAAAGTGGAAGCGAATGAATGGATTGATTGATGGATGCGTCCGGGTCATGGTAGTCAAGGTAGCTTGGAAATATCACAGTGTCTCTGTAAACATCAGTCTATGGACACTCCTGCCTGACCGTCATCATCGCAAACAAGAAGGGGCTCAGAGCAGATCCCTGATGCAATCCCACTCCACCTTGAAGCCACCTACGGCTCCTACTGCACACCTCACCACTGTCTCGCTGTCCTCAGAAACTTTGCACCTCAACCCCACAGTGAGAAGGATTTGTCAGTAAATCTGCATCACTTTGGTCTCGCCTTCATCATCTTACCTGGGTGAAGAAGAACACTGCATATGCCAGAAGCCACACGGAGCAGGTGTATACCATCACTTTGCCCATGGACACTTTTGGGGAGCTGATAATGAACTCCCTGCAAAAGCTGGAGTGACTCTGACAGTCCAGAGAGATTGGTTTACCGCTAATGTCAGTGAAGGCTTCGTCTTCCATGACGACTGAACAGCGAAACGAGGTGAATGAGCATAAAAGACGAGTGATGACCTTTGTATGGTGTCAACGCGGTTACCCTGTCAAGTTAGCATCGAGCTAGCATTAGTTGTTAACTGCAAATAGACAGGGTCAGCAGCACATTAAGACAGGCGGTGATAAATTTATAATGATGACGAAAAAAGAAAGCTGCTTAAAGTAATATGCTTTAAATGAATTAAAAGGGAAAAATAGCTAAAGAGCTGAATTAAAGAGTCAACTACAACTGTAGTGGTGCCACAATCCATCCCCACTCATGTGGCTGCACTGTTTTTTACACCGGGGTGTCCAGAAAGGGTGGGGGGCTCTCGCATACACAAAAGCAAAAGACCGCGAAAAAACTCGTTCATAAAACAACTAAATGTACTTTAATGCATAGAACAACTCGTAAGTGTAACATTTATTATTCTTCGTTTGATATCAACGAGATACGTGTCAGCTTCAGCTTCTGTCTCCGTCTCAGCTTGTGCCTACGGCCCACGCTGGTGTAGAATAAAAGCAGACCCTATAGTCGCTGGAAAAAGCAAAGCATTCTGGGCAACGATTGATTTTTCGTCGATATCTCCGTCAATAACTCAAGCTGGTCCACAGCTTTCGTCAAACAGTCTGTAAAAGTCAAATACGGGGTATACGTTGGTGTATGTGCCATAAACGGGTTACAAACAGCTCGTCTTTAGTAAGCGCTTTTCCATGTCACTTGCAAGGCCTTCGTTTCCCAAAATGCTTTGTGTTTCCGTGACTTTTGACCTCTGGATAAAAACAAGCCGATCAGCTGATGTAAAAGCAGCAACATCTACAGGGGTCTGACACAATAACAGCTTGCTAACTTTGCCCCCCCTCCAGCGTCAGCTCTCCGTGGCATTCGGCGGTATGGTGTTAGGCAGTGTACGTGTCCACTTTTAGACTGTGTCGATTCAGCAGGTTATTTAACGAGACAGCCGTCGGACTGGTAGCAACTGTTAGGTCAGTCGACTCAAAAGAAGGTTGTTTGTTTCAGGAGTGTCTCTTTGTGTGAATGCTGTTAGCTAATGACTCTTTACTACTGAGTTTGAATGCCTGTTTTTAGGCATTTTTAATGTATAGAACAGTGTGGGATACTCTCATGTAGAAAGTTAGCGTTACCAGAACAAGAAAACAGATGCCGGCCAGCTATTGTTAGCTACAGAGCTGTTGTGTCAAAAGGTAAACAAACTAGTCCGAGTTTTGTGTGTTTAATTTTGCTGTTTTAATAAACTGAATATCCCCATTAAAAAGTAAGGAGAGAGAAAAGGGGCATGGATTGCTATCGTTTTGTTGACAGTACTGCTCATGAGTGAATTTGTTTTTGGTTTTTTTTCAGTATTTCAACAAAACAGGTTATCTGACATCTGGTTATATAGATTCACAAGACGGTGCCATAACCTTGTGCCCTCTCCTGCAGTGCTTTTGCCGTCCCAATTACCCACAGTAATCCTTTATACTTGTTTTCACACCAGGGGATTCCTGACCTCACAGGTTTGAGATGAGTGGTCAAGGTCCAGCTGTAAACAAAGGAATGAGCACCATCCTGGTCTGTCAGGAGAGCTATGCCTGTGGGGGCTCGGACGAGGCTGTGTTTGAATGCGATGAGTGTGGCAGCTTGCAGTGTGCCCGCTGTGAACTGGAGCTACATCGGCAGGAGCGCATGAGGAATCACGACCGGGTTCGGGTCGCCTCGGGCCACGTTCCTTTCTGTGACTCCTGCAAAGGGGATGGCAGCTGCTCTGGGAGACTCAGAGCGGTGGTCCGCTGCCAGGGCTGTAAGATCAACCTGTGTTTGGATTGCCAAAAACGCACCCATGGGGGAGTCAACAAGAGGAAGCACCCTCTGGTATCTTACCCACCTGCCAAAGCTCCTCAAGAGAACAGTGTCAGTGCTGGGGAGAGTGAAATGGAAATCCTCAAATCTAAACTGGAGAAGGTGCGCAGCTTCCTGCTAGTGGATGAGAAGGAGGAAATGCAGGTAAGCACTTGTTGAGGTACTCGGCGTTTGATGGTGTTTTATTAATGATGCGTTACAACGATTGAGCTGATCTTGTCTGCATTCTCAGGTGAAGGATGAGGAGGACTTTGTCAGCAGACTACTGGGTTGTAGTCCAGATGAACTTCTCAAGGTGGTCTCCATTTTTGGGAACACTGGTGAGGGAAAATCCTACACCCTGAACCATACATTCTTTCTTGGGAGAGAAGTGTTCAAGACGTCTCCCACTCAGGAGTCCTGCACTGTAGGTGTTTGGGCAGCTATGGACCCTCTGCATCGGGTTGTAGTCATCGATACAGAGGGACTGCTTGGAGCTGGTATGAAATTATTGATTTACTTAATGTTATGAAACAAACGGGGGTAGAAGCAGGCAGGCATTCATGATTCTTTTTTTTTTTTCTTTTTTTTAAACTCATCAGGGGCTAATCAGGGTCAGAGAACTCGGCTGCTCCTCAAGGTCCTGGCTATCTCTGATGTGGTAATCTACCGGACACACGCTGACCGTCTCCATGACGATCTCTTCAAGTTCCTTGGTGATGCATCAGATGCCTACCTGAAACATTTCACTAGAGAATTAAAGGCAACTACCAATCGCTGTGGTCTTGATGTACCGTTGTCCACCCTGGGCCCCGCGGTGATCATCTTCCACGAGACTGTCCACACCAATCTACTAGGATCAGGTACATCAAAGAAGTTTGTCTCATCTCAGTGTTTTTCAAAGATAAGCACACAAACCACTGCCTCAATACTTTGTCTCCATCTGTATGTGTACCCCAAATTCAGACGCGCCCTCAGAATCTGCTGAGCGCCTTATCCAGGAGCGTTTCAGGAAGCTGGGCTTATTTCCGGAAGCATTCAGCTCCATCCAGTACCGTGGGACTCGAACCTACAACCCTCCCACGGACTTCAGTGGTTTGCTCCGCAGCCTGGAGCAGCAGCTGGACAACAATACGACACGTTCGCCACGATCTGCCAGTGTCATCTTCAAGGCCCTGCAGGTAGCTGTGCTTACATTTAAGTATGTTTTGGCATAGCCAATGGAAATGTTTATACCTTTCCCATCTCCACCTGGGGCCTTCTTTCAGGCCCTGAGTGAGCGCTTCAGTGGGGAGATTCCAGATGAACATATGACCAGTAACTCCTTCTTTCCAGATGAATACTTTACCTGCTCCAGCATCTGCCTCAGTTGTGGGTGCGTGTCCCTGCTTTGCTAAAAAAAATATCAAAAATACTTTAAATCAGATTTCTACAGCATCATCACTGCCAGTACCTTTTACTTTTACTTATTTATAAAACTTGCTGACTTGCTGGGCACCACCTTTCAGGTCAGGCTGTAAGAGGAGCATGAATCACCTAAAGGAAGGTCTTGACCATGAAGCCAAACATCGCTGCCGGTACTCTGCACAGTACGACAACCGCATCTACACATGCAAGGCAAGTACAAACATACATCTACGCCACATTTGAAGTATACCTGCTTGACAAGGTTCTGAGCAACTGTGCTGAACTTCTCAGGCCTGCTACGAAAGGGGAAAGGAAGTCATAGTGGTTCCCAAAACGACGGCCTCGTCTGACTCGCCGTGGTTTGGCTTGGCCATCTACGCTTGGTCAGGGTGAGTCCTGCGAGTATAGAATGATTTTTCATAAATATCTTCATATGTCCCTTTAAAGTTTATGAAAAAATTGAGCACAGTTGATATAAAAAGTGTGTGGCACCTCTGGAATCTTTCCTCCCTGTGTTGAAACTGAGATGGTTTTGTCTTTTTACAGGTATGTCATTGAGTGTCCCAACTGTTCAGTGATCTACAGAAGCAGGCAGTACTGGTATGGAAACCAGGACCCAGTGGAAACAGTGGTCAGAACAGAAATCCAGCACATCTGGCCTGGGGTAAGGCCACGGTGAATTCATTTAAACCACTGAAATCTAAAAGCTCAGTTTTTGTTTTCTTTGAGTCATATGAATTTGGCCACTTTGAGGCTAGTGGCTTATACTTTATGTAAATATCCAGAAAAGTAACGTCGCATGTTCTCCTGGAACATGTTGATCTAAGCATAATTAGTCACAAGTCTGAATATAGCAGTGCAAACGCCAGCTGGTAAGGCAGGCATTGTATTTCTGTCAGCACTGTTGTCAGTATTTAGTGATAATTGTGAGGGACGCTTGTATAAACACAACTTCTATGGCGTACTGTAATTATGTGTTTTTACACCGTTCTTTGCAGTCTGATGGCTTTTTGAAAGACAACAACAACGCTGCTCAGAGGTTGTTGGACGGAGTCAAATACATTTCTCAGTCTGTGTCTGAACTCAGCGTCAAGCCTGCCAAAGCGGTCACTTCCTGGCTCACTGACCAAATTGCTCCTGCCTACTGGAAACCCAATTCCCTCATCCTGGTATGCAACCAATATTTAGCTAACTATATATAAGGAATCACAGGCCCAGAATGTGTAGTTGTGAATGAAACATCACTTGTGTAACTAAAACATTTTCTTGGTGATAGCCCATGTTCCTGTTATGTTACTGTTATGCCGATAAATCGCATTACTTATTATTGTGCCGTAGAAATGTCATAAATGTGGGGAGGAGTTCCAGCCCAACGACACCAAGCACCACTGCCGTGCCTGCGGAGAGGGCTTCTGTGACGCCTGCTCCTCCAAAACCCGGCCGGTCCCTGAGAGGGGCTGGGGTCTTGCGCCTGTTAGGGTCTGTGATGCGTGTTTCCACAACAGAGGAATTCCAACTGGTACACAAATGAGTCTCTCTGTGGGAGTTTAAGAGTGCGGTATTGTTTGCCGGGCTGGTTCAGGCGGTTTTAATGTTCACAACATGATATGATTTGATGTGTGCATGTTGTAGAGTTGCTGGACGCTGCGTTGGAGGAGGAGGGAGGCACCCTGATAGCGAGGAAGGTTGGAGAGGCTGTCCAGAACACTTTGGGGGCTGTAGTTGGTGCCATCGATATACCTCTTGGTAAGAATAGGATCTAAAAAATAATATAGCGAGCAAGAGAAACAACTTAAAAAAAAAAAAGAGTGAGAGAAATAAAAACTTTTTTCCCAGGGCTAGTGAAGGACGCAGCTCGGCCGGCCTACTGGGTGCCAGATCAGGACATCCACTCTTGTTGCGAGTGCCAAAGGGAGTTCTCACCACGTCTCTCCATCCACCACTGTCGCGCCTGTGGGCAGGGCGTGTGCGATGACTGCTCCCAGGAGCGGCGCCCCGTGCCGTCCCGTGGATGGGACCACCCCGTGAGGGTCTGCAACGGCTGCAACCAGAAAACAGGGGAACTCTAGCAGGACTCAATGGAGCAATTAAAGATGCCAGCGTTTGTGGAAACTGGAATCTGCGACATCTTGAGTCTAACAGGTTTCATTGGGGGTATTTTTGTTTTTCTGGATGCCTCTAGACTGTACAGGTGGGACTCGTTTATTATTTGTTAGTGCTGGCCTCATGTAACATCAGTCCATCGATCGCTTTTCTCTTTAATATGCCTATAATTTACACTGTGAAGACAGGCCAGAGCAAGGCTTGAATATTATAAGGACAGGAGAGAAAAAGAACAGAGAGATGATCAAAGTGAGTTTTGTACAAGCTTGCTTACAAATGACTTCAGGTAAATTTCCATGTTGCTCTGTAGATCCGTTCAGATTTGTATTCTTGCACACTAATCCCTGCACACCCTCTACGTGATATGCTAGTACCATTAGCTCCTTTTGCCTGGTTTGGAGCTACATATTTAAGCCTTTTAAAAAATACAAGTACTGACCTGTTTTTTCTTTTTCATAGCATTTCCAGGTAATCATGTCTTATTAGTTCTAAAATGGTTTGTGCAGGTGATCTGGATATAATATTTAGGACCAGCTTTAGATAGAACACCTCAAAAGTCATCAACCACAGTGAATTCTGATCCCTTTCTTTTGAAATACTGAGGTAGATTACCTCTAATTCACCCCTGCTAGAGCTACTTTTCTTTCGTCTTGGCTTCACAGGGACTATATTAGATCATTATATCGGAAGCCACTGATGTACTGTAGCAGCAAGATGCATTCCAACATATATAATTCGTAATTACTACTTAAATAGTCCCATTGATTATTTGTGGTTGTTTGTGAATTTGAATGGGCAGATTTAAAACAAACAAAAAAAACAAGAACAGCCTTAATAATGCTGTCCATGTTAACTGTTTGAATTCTACTTAGTATGCATATATATGGGAAAAATGTTTACTTTAATAGGGAATTTTCTTTTTAATTGCCTCATTTTATTTTTAAATGTCATAACTGCATATCAGGACAAATCTGACTAAGGTGGGATTCAATGCAACAAAAACTGCTTTATAGTGGCTGGATCACAGTAGGGACTTAACACAGTTGAGGTTTCAAACCATGTTTGGGGCTGGCCCCTCAAAACAGAGATCATTAGTAAGAGTAGTGTTTTACTGTCAGCTCAGGCTGCGTCGCTCTTCTTTGTCAGCAACATTCAAGGTTGCTTGTATTTCAACAGGACTGTACAGAGTATCTGACCTGATTACTATTAAATGAAGATGACACTTGATGCATTCAGGCTTTCTAATGAATATCTTGGTATTATGAGATTTGACTGTGTAAGATTTTTTTTTTTGTTTGTTTGTTTCTTGTTAACGAACTGGAAGAGTTGGTTTGCTTGTGATCAATCAGATAAGCTGAAATAACAGACTTCAACATGAATAATAGATTTATCCTGTCTCAAACAGAGATCAATGACTATAGATATCACATGGAACCAATCAATACCTTGTATTTATGTATGCTCATACATATGTATTAAACAGTGGAATCTTAAGGTGTCTGTGTATGGGTTGAATACAATGCAGTGGGATAAGGTTTTTAATAAACTTTACTGGGAATCAACAAAGACTATAAAACATGTTGATTTAGTAAACAAACAGTATCATCATTTTCAAATTTCAATCCCAGCACCCTTATTTCCAGTAACAATCAAGGTTAGGTGTGTTTAAAATAAGTGCACTTCTTCTGTAAAAAGAACAGTAAGGAAAACCGAACTGTACCGGTGTGCACATGTGAATGCAGCACTTCCATTTCCTTTTGGCACAAAAACACGATCATGTGTATGATGAGGCAACTCCCATGAAATTTAAAAGCAGTTCTTTGAGGTCACCACTTCAGTCTAAATTTAGTGTAAATGGTTGTCACATAACATCTTTACCCAGCCACACTCTCAAATACACAGTGATACAGCTGGCCTCGGCACTCCTCATTCTTGGTAGTCAGTGTTGTATGGGAAGTAATAGAGGTCGTGTTTGACAGCCATGAGCAGCCCGGGGAGGCCCCTGCTGCCACCCAGGTTAGATGAAAACACAACACTTGGGATCAAGTCGTTTGCGGCCGGGTGGGGTGATGGGATGGTTCTCAATAGATGACCGTCCTTAAGGCTCCATAACCTTGTGTAGCAATCCTGACCCACTGTAGAAAGGATGGTAAACATTGAAACTGCACGCAAAAAAGGTTTATACCAGTGAGAGTATTGAGTGTTGAGAGTGTTTTATCCTCTCCTACCTGCTAGCAAAAGCCCTTCCCACTCATTGACATGGATGGGAAGGTAGGCATGCTCGTTATGATGACCTTTGTACTCCTGCACTGGCTTTGTGCCTCGCACATCCCACAGCTTAATCTGCAAAGAAATGAGAAAACACACAAAGGCTCAACAGAACTATCCTTGAATTATTACCTTTTTCAAATCATTCCTTTCTGATATTTTCTACCACACTTTGTCAGTATGGCCTGATGGTTCTGTGTTTACCAAGTCTTTCCGCATGAGGCTAAAACATAAGTAAAATACCTGTAATTAAGAACCTGAAAGTATTATCTGCTGTAAAAAAAAAGAAAAAAGAAAATTAAAGAGTCAAGTCAAGAACCTGACCTGGCCCAGCATGTCAGCAGCCAGCAGGTAGTTCTCATCCTGCAGGACGCGTACAGAGGTGATGGCTGACTCTTGATGGAAGCGACTGGCCTTCCAGCTGTGATCTCTGCGGCCGCGCTGTCGGAGGTCGATGCTGAAGATCTCCCCCGATCTGCAACCGTTAAACAGGACAGGAACCTGTGGACGGAAAGGTGTATTTCTTTTGCTTGGTGTTCTTCCAGAGTGCTTCAACAACTTTAAAGTTACAAATGCCTCACCCTAAGGGCAAACTGCTGAGCCAGAACATCACTGCCGACGCTGTACGTCTGTGTTCTGCCCGTCTCTGCATCCTTCACAATCACTCTACGAGACAGGCCTGTCAACACACACATAAACATGATTATTTTAGATGTGTAATTTTCTCCTTTCTATAACGACAAAAATGTTTAGCTGCAGTACTAACCAGTGCTGAACGTCTTGTCAAACTGGGGGTTGAGGCACCAAGCACAAGACCAGGCTGAGGATATCTTAAAGCTGCACAGCATCCCAGGCTGATCTGAAGGAGTACAAGAAGTAAGAGGAGAAGGGTGTTGAGGGTAATGGGGAGGTACACAACAACAGCAAAACTGCTTTCAAAACATATTTCAAAATAAAGGTCTTCTAGAATAATAATTCCAAGACTGAAGAAGCTTCTTTGAATAGTATGTTTTACCATACTGCTACCTGGGTCCTTCACAAATGAACTACAGAAGGGCAATGTGACTGCTGCATATTGCGCAAGAACCCTGACAAACCTGGGTTGGAGTTGCTGAAGAGGGAAGCAGGAAGTAAACTCACGCAGCCAGGGGTGTCTGCTACTCCCACCAGACACAGCCTGATAGTTACTTCAGTCAAGGACATACAAGTTTCACCAAAACAGTGAAGAGATGACACGCTGTGACACCGGTGTGCACTTTATAGAGCTGAAATGTTACCATTTTGATGATAGTCACCAAGTGTATTCTTTTAGAAACAACAGCAGTATGAATCCACAAATAATGCAAATGAAAAGGACAACTTATAAGTGATCTTTGTTGCCAGGTTAAGCCCTTTATTTGAAGGTTAAGTGAACTAGAGTTAGAGCTCTAATTAAACTGTGGAAGGATACAACACATGAGAATCGGGGTAATTTACCGAAGCCCAGCAGATGGAATTGACCTGAAACATGTTAACCAGATCAGAGTGATTAATATTATTTAAACAGACCAAATGTTTGTAGACACATCATAAAAACAGGCTCCAAGATTAATGTGAGTTAATTAATTTTTATTTCCTGCAGTGTACTAAATAGAAACTACAAAAATGCAAACATATGCTTTGTATTCAGGGAGGGTCTTTTATCTCCAAAGAAATGCTCCTACCTTCCGATTAGTGAAGTAGAGGTTATCACACATTTCCACAGACAGAGACCCCTTGCTGCTGCTGCTGAAGTTCATGATGCCATACTTGCAGCCGCCATGAGAGACATCGTTGACTGTGAACACTCGCTCACACGCCGAATCCCCCTGAAAAAGAAACGGCAACAAAGAAACAAGGCATATGCACATCATCAAGTACAGATAGAGGCCATTTTTAAAGGTAACCTACTGTGTTCATTTCCAGCAATTAAGAAAAAAAAAAGGACTCTAACGTCAACGTTTAACATTCAAAACAATCTTTTTTGTTGTTGTTGTTGTTGTTGTTGTTTTTTTAAATCATACACAGGGCCTTGGTGGACCCAAATCATCCTCTGGATGAAGCAAACTGTTCTTACTCCCTCTCCCTCCCTTGAAACCAACTATAACAAACATTTATTCTATTGAAACGTGTGTTGCACTGTGTTTGCGTGTGTTCTCACCACTATGAGTCTGAAGTTGTCGGTGTTTGAGATGCTGTTGTCTGTGCTCTGGATCTCTAGTTTGTGGCGTCTCATTTCACTGACCTTCACCTCATGGACGAGCCTGGAGACCAACAGTAAATGGCCTGTATTTGTATAGCGCTTTACTTAGTCCCTAAGGACCCCAAAGCGCTCTACACTACATTCAGTCATTCACCCATTCACACACACAACAGTAACCATAGTAACAGACTAGCACTGTCTGCAGACAATCTACTAACCCAGGATAATTGATACACTTTTCTCTTAGCTTTCTGACAGTGTCTCTGTAGTAATTTATGTATTTATTTAGACAGTTTGCCTGTAGGATAAAAAGAACTAGAAACTTCCTCATATGCATTTCATTACTTTTTGTTTTTCCATTTATTCATATCATTCCCAGTGATGCAGAGTATTTTCTTTGACTGCATTTATGCATGTTTCTCCATCTTTTTATTACCATTTAAAATAACTTGTCTAAATAGATTAGCATCATTATTAGTGGCCAGCAAAGCTCAGAAGAAAAGTCACTCTACACATGCAGAACTGATTAGCGTTAAAGTTTCTCTTTGTTTCCCATAATCCGTTACAGCTGTGGCTAGGACACGGGAAAAACAGTGTTATGTTGAGTTTTGCGTGCCTGCAGGGCTGTGACACAGTACCTGCAATAGGAGTGCTCAGGTAATACACCTAGATGTCGTTTCTGAAGTAGCAGCGAAGTGTTTAGTCCTCTTCTTGGTGCTTTCTGTAAATGAAAAGGAAAATATGCGTACATGTTTACGACCAAGGTTTCTTTCTTTACAACTTCTTAAACATTTATGTCCCAGATTGAAGAAAAGCATGTGCTTCTGCTAAGATCAACTGTGATCTCAAGTGTTTTATTCCTACACAGTTTGCAGTTGTGCTCTAATGCTGTACTGTGATGATGTCATTACAGCTGCTGCCATAGCCATAATCCTTTAGTACACTGCAGGAGGTTTATGGTAAGCTTTCATCTAGAGGGCATAACTTTAGCATATCAGATGACTGTGTCTGTCTACAGCAACAGGAAAAAGCTTAATGGAATCTTAAAGAATAAATATGATAAAAATGCTAAAAGACAAAGAAGATTAAAAAGATTTGCCCACCACCCTTGATGACAGACTTACTTTTCTTGTTTTTTCATCTTCTGCCAACATCTTGTTCCTCTCCTTCTCTCTTTCTTTTTGTTGTAGTTGCTCTCTGGTTAGTGGGTTACAGTTGTTGTGCCCGGGCAACAGCCGGAAGTAACGGTTTTTCTCTGGGTCAAAATAGAAACCTGGCAGCTCTGGCAGGAGAAAAGGAGGCAAAAATTAGGCTTGTGCATCTTTCATTGCATCTATTTGATTTTCCAAGTGTACAACAAGAATTTTCCTGTCAATATCCTTCTACTTTAAGTGCTCCTGGACAAGACACTGCATGTAAAACTACTGTTTATGTACATATGTGTTCAATTTAAGTGTTGTGCTCTTCTGATACCTTTAATAATAAGAAATGGGGGCTTCCAACGCAAACGTGTACTTTCAATGCTGTACGTTACTGACCTGGTGCAGCACTGTTGGCGTTAGAAGAAGACGAGGAAGGCAAGGAAGAAGAGGAATGTGAGGCAGGTTGGTTAGCATGGTGCTTCTGAGATGGTCTGTGTGAGGGCCCTGCATCATCACGTTCATACCTTTGAACAGGAAAAGCACACACACAACAATGATACTGACATACTGATCACTGTCATTACAAACACTGTATTCTAGTATGGCACATGCTCCATACTTTAACGTGATATAAGTGTCATTTAACGTAGCTACCACTGCTGTCGGTTTCCTCGGTGCCATCCACGGCGCTGACCAGCACCTTGTCGCGTGTGCGGTCGCTGTCCTTCTCGCCAGTTCCACTTCCTCATTTCTTATGGTTCGGTCTAGAAGTAAAATGGTCCTGACGGCGTGTTGCTTTTCATTCACTTCTCTGTGTTTGGCAGTCCAGGTGTTTACAGGCAGATTACCATCAACACCGTTGG